TTCTCAGTGGAGGGTGGTAAGCAGTGGGGTACCACAGGGATCAGTACTGGGTCCAATGCTTTTTAACTTGATTATTAATGATTTGGAGTTGGGAGTAAGCAGTGAAGTGGCTAAATTTGCAAATGACACAAAGTTGTTCAGGGTGGTGAGAACAAGGGAGGATTATGAGGCACTCCAAAGGGATCTGCCAAGGATGGGCTAGTGGGTGTGTCACAGCTCAGGTGGGGTGTCACCTGACGCTGCCACCACTCTGGATTTAGGATCCCTTGAGAAGGCTCACAGCACCCTCCCAAGACCTTCAGACCTCCCTTTTGGCTGAATAATAGGCGTGAGGACCAGGCAGAGTAAACAACAAGGAAAAGGTTTATTTTATAGGAGGTCAAACAAACAAGGTGCAGGAATAATAACAGTAAGGGGGTGAAAAGAAAATATATCAAATGCCCTAACACATCTAAATATACTGTCCCTAGCTCAATATCTCCAGTGGCCTTAGACTACTCACCCTTCCCTCGGGATGAGGGTTTCTTCCCCACAGCAGCCTTCTTCTGGCCCTGTTCCCTGGGAAGAAGAACAGCTTTTCCTCTTGCACCAGTTCTTTTATTATCCAGCCCTCTTCTTCCCTAATAGTCAAAATCGGGGCCAAAATTTCTCAAGGCCTTCTGGGGTTTGTAGGCCCAGCCTCCCCTATTGCTAGCCAGGCTCCCTGGGCCTAGGAGGCCTCTGGTGGCACAGCCCAGATCATGAAAGGGCATCAATGTGGCAAATGGGGTTCAATGGGGCCATGTGCAAAGTGATGCACGTTGGAGCCAGAAATCCTAACTATAAATACACATTGATGGGGTCTGAACTGGCAGAGACTGACCGAGAGATTTTGGAGTCGTAGTAGATAACTCAATGAAAATGTCGAGACAGTGTGCAACTGCAATAAAAAAGGCCAAAGCTATGCTGGGGATTATTATGAAGGGAACTGAAAACAAATCAGCCAGTATCATAATGCCCCTGTATAAATCAATGGTGCGACCTCATTTGGAGTACTGTGTACAGTTCTGGTCACCACACCTCAAAAAGGATATTGTAGCATTGGAAAAAGTGCAGAAAAGGGCAACTAGAACGATAAAAGAGAAGAAGAACCTATGAAGAAAGGTTAAAACACTTGGGGCTCTTTAGCTTGGAGAAACGACAGCTGAGGGGTGACATGATCGAGGTTTATAAGATTATGCATGGGATAGAGCAGGTTGAGAAAGAAGTACTTTTCTCCCTTTCTCACAATACAAGACCTCGTGGGCACTCAATGAAATTGCTGAGTAGTCGGGTTAGAACAGATAAAAGGAAGTACTTCTTCACCCAAAGAGTGATTAACACATGGAATTCACTGCCCCAGGAGGTGGTGGCAGCTACAAGCATGAACAGCTTCAAGAGAGAATTAGATAAGCATATGGAGCAGAAGTCCATCAGTGGCTATTAGCCACAAGGTCTAGATAGGAACTCTCAGGCTGGGGCAAGGGATGCACTTTATTCTTGGTGCTTGGGGGGTGGGGCAACAGTGGAAGGGCTTCTAGTGTCCTGGCCCCACTGCTGGACCTCCTGAGAGCACCTGGTATTTTTGGCCACTGTGTGACAGAGTGCTGGACTAGATGGGCCATTGGCCTGATCCAACATTGGGTTCTCTTATGTTCTTAAACCTCCTGGCTGACGCACTATCGTGCCTCCTTCAACATGCGAGCCAATGAGAGAAGGTTGTGGACTCCATGTTCACGCCTACCCAGTTGGGTGGGGTGGTGGCAACGCATAGCCAGGTGAAGGGAGGGGCCCCGCAGGGTACTGATCCCTGGGTGGAAAAGTTTAAGGCCGCCCTAACGGACACTGACATGAGGGAAATCGAGAAAGAGGGGACGGTAGAGCAGAAAGAGAATGGCTGCTGGTACAGGCAGCACAAACTGTTCATCCCGAGGGCCTTGAGAGGGGAAATTCTCTCAATGGGGCTTGATAATAAACTGGCTGGACATTATGGCTATTTGAAGGCTTTAAACCTCATCCAAAGGCAATTTTGGTGGCCTCGCATGAGAGGGGACATCTCCCAATATGTGGCCTCTTGTCAGGTGTGCCTGATGGGCAAGGGGTGATCGGGGAAAACCCCAGGACTATTACAGCCTCTAGACACCCCCAACAGACCCTTGGATGTCATCTCCATGGACTTCATCACCGATCTACCCCCTAGCAAGGGAAAGACTATGATCTGGGTGGTGGTGGACCTTTCTTCAAAACAAGCACACTTTATTCCATGCAAACAACTGCCTACGGCTGGGAAACTGGCCCAGATGCTCCTACAACATATAGTGCGACTACATGCCCTGCCCCGCAAAATAGTTTCTGATCAGGGGTCAAAGTTTGTTGCGGGGTTTTGGAAGGAATTATTGAAATTGTTGGGGGTAGAGCAGGGGCTAAGCAGTGCCTACCATCCAGAGACGGATGGGCAAACCGAACATACTAATCAGGTGTTAGAGCAATTTTTAAGGTGCTTTACGAATTACCAACAGGATGACTGGGTTGACCTGCTCCCCTTTGCGGAATACAGTTATAATAATTCGGTGCACAGCTCCATGGGCCTCTCTCCTTTTAAAGCAGTGCACGGATACGAGGGGGGGCCTCACCCTACATTGGACCCAGGGGCTCCATGTTCAGGTGATGCACAAACCTGGTGGGCCAGAGTGACTCAGGGGTAGTCGACTCTCCAGCAAACTCTGACTAAGGCTAAGGAGGATTACAAACGGTATACCAACAAACGAAGGGGCTTGGAATGGGACTTGAAGCCAGGAGACTCTGTATATATTTCTATGAAAAACCTCAAGGATTTCCAGCCTGGGAAAAAGTTGGGATGGAAATATGTGGGACCATTTAAGGTGGTGCACTTCATCAACAAAGTAACTGTGGAAGTCGAGTTGCCAAAATCCTTACGTCACATCCATCCTGTTTTCCATTTCAGTCTACTGAAGAAAGATCCAGGACCCTCAACATGGAGACCTCATCCTGCAGCTCCCCCTCCCCTGATCGTGGATGGGAAGCCCCACCAGGAGGTGGAGTCATTTTAGACTCTAAAATAAAATGTGGCCAGCTATATTATCTCATCAAATGGACTTTGACTCGAGCCATAACAACTGGGTGCGACAAGACCATGTGAAAGCTCCCAAATTGGTGTGCGCTTTTTATAAGCAGCACCCCCTCAAGCTCAGAGGGTGAAGGCTTTGGGGGTGGCAGAATGTCAAACTCAAGATCTCGTTTGCCATGGTTCACAAAGATCCAGGGCCTGCAAGGGGTTGGAATTCCAGAGAGGGGTGTGTGAGTGCGAGAGTGTGAAAATAGCTCTGTTGCAGTGACAATGTAACTCTTCTAAGATACCTCCTTTCTAAGGGATGACCTTGGACACTGCCTGCGCTTGCTTTGCTGCCTTAGATAACATAATGGGAGATTTATGGGAGGGGGCTGGAGCGCGCAAAAGTTAGGCGGGATGACTGAGGAGTATGATTGGACAAGACCAAAGCGGGGGCTTGCTTGAACCTCGTATATCTTTGGGTTTTGGCTTTAACTTTAGTTCTGACACATCAAGAGTCTTAGCTTGGAAAATCTTTATTTCTCAATAAACAAATCACTGCCAGAGAGTGTTGTTGAGAGTAACTTTGTCCAAGAGTCTGACAGACAATCTATACAGTCTTTGTTTGAGAATTGGTATATTGCGCATTTTCTGTTGATTCCCTTAACACGGCAAAGAACTCATGTCTGTAAATGTTTTCCAAAAAGAGAGATGAAACTTAAATGTTCAACGAAAACAAAAGAAAAATATCATTTGCCAAAATCACTTATTTTTATCTGTTCTGCATATGAGACCATGAAGATGAGAGGATTGGCTTTCCAATTCTACATGTGGGCTGGCAAGCACACCCTGCCACAGCAGACACAAAGGTGTTCCAATACCTTGATGCCAGAGGTGGAAAATCCATCATTCTCCTTCCCTCTAATTTAGATTCAAATCCACTGGGAAGTTCTGCTTAAGCCTCCCTGAAATGAGCAGGAACCTGACAGTCTGCAGCGGGACTTCCACAGGCGATCCCCTCTCCCCCGAATTGATCTGCTTCTTTGTGTCACAGTGTGTGTGTGTGTGTCTCCCTGGAGCGAGCCCAAGTGGCGGCAGTGTGTGTGTGTGTGGGGGGGGTGCTTCCCACTTCTTTCTCCCTTCCCACGAGGTAGTCTGGGCTGCCACCACCCAAGCAGATTTTCCCTTCCCGCCTAGCCAGGAGATTATAATGGAAGAGATGACCAGACATGGAGGTGAGGCTCTCTGAACACAGTCTGAGCTCTTTAAAGAAAAGGATCCTTATTCACTATGGCACAGGGTTACATTCTAAAGCACATGTACAGAGGGAAAAGGTATATCACAGTACTTGCAGAACTAAGAAAGAAAATCAAAACACTTGAGGCTAATCTAAGTTTTAGAAACACAGATGTTACCTTGGCATGCCGTCCTTGGGACGGACACAAGCCTGCTGGAACATGGGGGGGGGGGAAGGGAGATGCTACTCTATTCCTTCCCCTGGGTCCTGGTCTGGCTTGAGCCAGATCTTTTAACCCTTCCTGCCCTGGCCGGGTGGTTGTGACAACCCTCACAAGTCACTCAGCACTCTTCTCTCCAACATGGAGTGCAGGTCTCCCTCCTTTACTGCCCCAGTCAGGTCATCCAAACATTTCTGGCAGCTTGGGCAAATGGATATTTCCTTGCAGGAAGCTCAGCTGGCAGTCTAAGCAGTTTATTACTCTCTTCCCTAGGCAAGAGTGTTCTTCCTTGAGATTCTGGTCCCCTGGTAATTCCAAACATCTTACACTCCTGTCATAACACCTTGGACATCCTTAACAGCCCCCCCCCAATGCAACCCCCCCTCCACTACACACACCTTGTGTCACAACCAAGTTGGTTCTAGGCAGATATGTGGCCACAGCATTTGGCTTACCTTTGTTGGTTTGGACACCTCCGACTGCTTCTTCTCGCTCACCTGCTTGTGGGATTTTCGGCCTGAGTCAGCGCTCTTGGTGCTAGACTTGGACCCATTCTGCTTGCCGTGCCCTCGGTCCTTGACAGGGGCAGGTGCTGGGGGTTTGACTGGCACCTTCTTCTTCTTCTTCTTGTGCTGAGGCTGGTCATACATCAGGTAATTCTCAAAGGACATGATTGGCTTTTCAAACTCATCCTCTGCTTCCCTGTCCCCGAAATTGGAAGAGGAGAAGCTGGCTCTTTTTTTGTTCAAATCGGATTTGGATTTGCCCTCTGGGGTTTTCAAACCGACAGAAGCCACTTTCTCTTTATTCTTACTGGACAAATCCTGCTCTGGTTTTCGCTTCTCCTGATAGCCGCGTGAGCCCTCTGAACCCTGCTTGGCTTTCTTGGGTTTGGGTGGCTCAGAGTCCACGTGTTTCTGATTCTTGATGTGGTTGCCCAGAGTCGCCTCAAAGTCAGTGTGCAGCAGCTTCTCCTTCTTCAAGCTGCCGCTTTCTCTCTTCTTCTCTGGTTTGCTGCTGTCCACAGCCTTCAGCCTCTCCTTGCTGCTGCCCGCCAAAGAAGCTTCTCGGAGAGACTCTTTGGAAGACCCCTTAGGAGGCCGCTCTGGGCTAAAAGCCGGGACCCTCTCCTCCCCCTTGGCCTCTGGCCACCGCCTTTCCTTGTGAGAGGATTTACGCTCTTTGTTCCAACTCAAGCTGCCTTTATCCTGGGGCTCTTTGAGGGTCCGGCCATGACCCCCCTCTTGCCTGTTCTTGTTAGCCTTCTGCTGAAGGACCTTCTGCTCCCGCTCCTCAACTATGCAGAGGTCTGGGGATAATTCCTGAGGGCTATCGCTCAGCGCGGGCGAGGCTGGATGCCCATAGTCCGAGCATTCCTGATCAGAGGAGAGCACGGGAGACTCTCTGCCCCACGTCCTGCCCTCTGGCGTGCCATAGTTCACAGTCTGATGGAGTCTCTCCGGCTTGGGGTGTCTTTTGAGCTTCTTTGCACTATACTCGGGTTCGTATGACTGGCTGCAGGAAGGCTGGTATGCTTCCGGATAGTCCTGCTCCATTTCCTCATCCTCTTTGGGGGATGGCTCCCGCTGCCGTTTCCTTGAGCTGCTTCGGTTGCAGTTGCGTTCTTCAGATTCAAGGTTATTCCTTAAGGGGGGGAGGGAGGGGGAGGGAGAGAGAATTATGAAAGTGAGATTGATGGATCTACAGCAGGGGCAGTCTGAATAATTCTGTGGTCCTGGGCTTTAATGATTCTAGAGTCCAGGACGGGGCCCCCAGAATCACTGCTGCACCCTGCTGGGGCCAAAACCAAGGGGTGGCTCTTGCTCCACGTGAAGTGGGTGGCAGCCGTAACCATATGCTGACTGCCTGAGCTTTGGACAGAGCAGGCCTAAGCAGCTGCCACCAAGCAGGGTGTCCAAGCCCCAGATGGAGCGGGAGTAAACAGCAGTTGCTGCAAGCAAGGAACCCAAGACCCAGGCACAGGGGGTCAGGTGGCAGCAGCAGGAGCCTGCTCTGTTTCTTCTCCCCCCGCTCCATGGGGGTGGAGTGGGGCTGTGGGTGGCTGAGCCACCTCTAAGCATGGGGCCCAGGGCAGCTGCCCATGTTGCCCACTGGCTAAGACCACCCTTGATCAAGAGTCCAAAAACTCAAAAGAAGAATTAAATGAACTCGGTGGTGTGGTTAGTTCCACCCTCTTTGCGGGAGGCAAATAATGCAGCCCTGGTTGCTCAGACATCATCGCTTCTACAGATGCAACAGGGAGCATTATACTCTTGTGGATTTTTGAAACAAAGCTTCCAGTCCTCATGACTGAAGATACATCTGGCATGCCTTCAAACGCATCTATGAAAGATTCCAGACTTAAAGAGCAGAACTTTCACCTTCTATCACATTCTTTTACCTAAGAACTTAAGGCCATCTCTTTCTGACTTGCAGAGCAGAGGTTTCATACAGTGCATTTTAAGAACTGTTTGGTACCAAATTCCAACCATGGCCAAGAAAGAGAGCATCCAGATGGCACGGCCCTTTGTGAGCTGGGCTGCACTGCTGCACCCCATTTGATCACTGCCTGGAGCACAAAGAAGGGAGACACATCAGCTGCATTTTAGTTGGCTGCAATTTGTGACATCTGATCCTTGCTCAATGCTTCTTAAAACAGCTGGGAGACGTCCTTGGCAGATACAAAGTGGCTGACACTGATAGTTCTATTTCTTCTTCTTTGTTTGCAACCAGTGTTCCCTCTAAGCTGAGTTAGTGTGAGCTAGCTCACAGTTTTTTAGTCTCCGGCTCACACATTTTTGTCTTAGCTCAGGAAAGATGGCTCCAGAGCAAAACTAATGTAGGCAGTAGCCAAGTCGCTTGCTCACAACTTTAATGCCAGTAGCTCACAAAGTAGAATTTTTGCTCACAAGACTCCACAGCTTAGAGGGAACATTGTTTGCAACCCCTTTTCTAAGTGCCTGTTGGAGGTCAGTAATGGCCCAAATCTTAGACCTGTGGCACTTGGCCTATGAGGTATATCTCCTCAAAACTTCCACAGTGGAAGACTGCTAAGCAGTCTAATGATGGGCAGCCCTTGATGACAGTTTGGAAACTAAAACCAGTCCAGAATGAGGCAGCCAGGTTAATTCCTAGCATCAGCTACTGAGAGCATATTACTCCTGTTTGCTATGAGTTGTGTGGTCTGCCAATTTTTGCTTCTGGGGTTCAAGGTGAAGATTACCATCTACAAAACTCTTCAAGGCATTGCCCAACCATATCTGAGAAGCTGTCTTCTCCCATACGATCCCTCCCATTCACTAAGATCCCAGGAGATCATCCGTACCCTCCAACCTATCCTACATTGCCTACTGAAATTCATACAATTTGGGATCTGACATTCTTAAAAAGACCTTGAAGACTTTTTATTGTTTCATTCAGGCTTTTGTTGTTTAGACAGATCTGGCTGGCCACTTACAATCTGCTTGACCGCTCTTTCCAAACGTGACAGGTATTATACGTCAATCCTAACTGTGATGGTATTATCGGTTCATTTCATGACTCACTTTGAGAAGCTGTGTTTGGGGGGGGGGGGAGTGTGATATTGTGTGTCAGAGGATGACTGGAGGAACCTGGGTTCAAATCCCCTGGGTGACCTTGGACCAGTCACACAATCTTGGCCTAATCTACCTCTCATGGCTGTTGTGATAAAGGGGAAGAGAATTCTTGAAGAATGGATGGGATTTTAAAATATCTAAATAAACAGCACACATTTGATCAGTGACAGGAGCATGAGGGAGGGAAGGCTAATCAGCTTTATTCTTGTGCTTGCAATGATTTTCAGTGTCTGCTCTGCCCTATAACTTGGGAAATAACAAGTCTCTGGATATCACAGCTGAGGGCTTACCGGTCTCCTTCCTGTGGGACAGGTACCAGCTTCTTCCACCTTGCCACCAGCTCTTTGGCAAAGTCTCCAACCAGTTCATGTTTCCGTAAGCCATTCACTGTCTTCCCAACGCCAGTCTCCTGCACCAAAGTATAGAAAATCCACTTAGGCTTTGAGAATAATCTGAAGAAGTGTGCATGCACATGAAGGCTTAAACCCAGAATTACACTTGGTTGGTCTTAAAGGTGCCGCTGGACTTTTGGTCTGTTGCTTCACACCAAAATGGCTACCCAACTGAATCAATGCCCAACATTAATTTCCCTTTAGCGTGTACACCAAAATATCCCCATGTTTTTTATTTTAAAAATATGTCTGTTTGGTTTTCAGTAGGTTTCTTTCCCACTTCATACTGAAGGCTAGATATAAATTATAATCCATCGGCACCTAACTGTGAAGTGTAGAAATCTTATGAGCGCTTCCAGAAGTGCTCTGAATGTGGAAGACAGGAGTGATTTCCATGCCACAGGCACTACCCTGAATGTGCTCACGAAAGCCACATCAAAATATACATACATTCAGTGCAATAGTGCTGGTCACACTTCTGGGGGATATTTTTTTACAGGTTTCCCAGAATTCTTCATGACCCACTAAGAAAACTAGACCTTCACAGGAGAGATAGAGAGAGAGAATGCATGCCTTGCCGACAGCTCTCGAATAATATCTCCAAGGCAAGTATAAGCATTTTTTAGTTAGGGGGGTCATACTTGGCACCTACTGCCTTGATCCTCAATGAAGCCACAAGATTCTTTAACCCCTTCCTTCCTCAAGAGCTGAGGCCTTAGCAGAGCCCCTTCAAGCACCTCAGCTGCTCACTCCCATCTCCTGGCTTGTGCAAGAGAGCATCCTTCTGAGGTGTCTAACGAAGGTGGGTCCTACCAAAGCCTTGGATTACTGGCAGTCATCCTCCTCTGTGCCTCACCGCCAAAGCCCTTGCTAAGATGTTTATGCATTCAAACTTGGTGGCAGGGACTATGGAAGCACTGGCCTGAGATCCAAAAGACTTTGAATAAAGCAGGCTCAGGCTGACAAGGGCAGAGCCCCAGAATGGAACTATACCACCATCGTGGCGGGAATTACCATCTACCTGGCCTTGGGTACGGAGAGACGCCGCCCTGAAGAGGAGCATTACTCTGGCGCTCCGACTCCTATATCGTTGGCCGCCAGTGAGGATCGACCATCTTAAACTTTCTTAAAATTGAACTGTAGAGCACCATTTTAGTTGTATTTATCAAAGTTTTAATGTAACATGTGTTTTATTCTCGGCGCTTGCCGCTTGTTTGCCGCCCTGAGCCGTACGGGTAGGGCGGGATATAAATCCCAGAATAAATAAATAAATAAACAACCTGGAGATACAGTGTACTTGTCTACCAAGAACTTAAAGGGTCTCCACGCCTAGCAGGAAGTTGGGCTGGAGATATGTCGGGCCTTTTAAAGTGCTGCACAAAATCAATGAGGTGACTGTTGAACTTGAATTGCCTAAATCTCTTAAAAGGCGTGCATCCCATTTTTCATTTCAGCCTGCTCAAGTGGGATCCGGGGCCAAATATGTGAAGACCTCAACCTCCATCCCCTCCTCCACTGATGGTGAATGGTGAACCCCATCACGAAGTCGCCCAGATATTGGACTCGAAATTCAAACGTGATCGCATGTTGTATCTTGTCCAATAGAAGGACTTTGACCCCTCACACAATGAATGGATTGATGAATGCCATGTCAATGCGCCTAAACTGATTCGTGCTTTTCATAAAATTTACCCTGGGAAGCCTGGTGGGGGAGGTCTTCGGGGGGGGGAAGAATGTCAGCTAGGCCGCTGTCATAAATGGTGGAGGAGGGAGAAGCTGATGGATAGTCTGTTGCTGTAATGGCATCTTAGCTTTCTTCTAGTCTTATCTGCTAGCTTAGGCCGGTGACCTTGGTACCTTGCTGCTGCTTTCGCTGGGAATGCAGCGGGGGACCCCTTTGAATGTTGTATAACTCCCCATTTTGCGCGCTTGCAATCAGTTCTGACTCAGAGTGTACGCACAGATGACCTGACTTTACTGTACTCAATAAACTTGAACCTTCTGAAGGAACGTTGTTGAGAACTGATTGCTGCGGGACTCTGACACCAGGGCCCTCTGAGCGACATGTCCCCATTCCTCAGGACACAACTACTGAGACTCAACTAAGTAATCACTCCAACAAAACTTTGAGATTGTACCATTAGAACTGATTGTTCATGGGTAATTTGAATTCCTATTTTAAAATAACGAGTGTAGAAGCTCTGATCTCATCCCATCACTACGTCACTGTGGCTGGTGGTTAAAAAAAAATAGCGTCATTATGAAAGAGCACTTACCAAAAGGATATCAACCGTTATGGGCAGCTCAGAAAGCCTCTTCAAACTCTTTAGCAACTGCAAAGACAAAGGAGAAAAAAATAGGTTTCTTTCTTTTCCCGCACAAATCACAAAACCCAGGAAAAGAGCTCTTCCTTGAAGCAGACACACAGGAAGGGCATAAAACAAAATCAATGGAGTCGTTAGGATGACAGCCACACAGAAGGAATTTGGCCTTGCTGTAAAGAACTTTCAGTGATCTTTTGATGCCCAGAGAGCCAGTTTGCTGTAGTGGTTAAGTGTGCGGACTCTGATCTGGGAGAACCGGGTTTGATTCCCCACTCCTCCACTTGTACCTGTTGATGTGACCTTGGGGCAGTCACAAGCTCTGGCACAGCTGTCCTTGAAAAAGAGCAGTTTGTGTCAAGAGTTCTCTCAGCCCCACCCACCTCACAGGGTGTCTGTTGTGGGGAGGGGAAGGAAAAGGAGTTTGTAAGTCGCTCTGAGACTCCAAGTGAAGGGCGGGGTATAAATCCAATCTCTTCTCTTCTTCTTCAAATTATCTGGCTGATGGCACTGCAATTGGCAACCTGTGACTTCATGTTCATTTACGTTACTGGGGATCCTTGCAGTGGCTCTGGAGATATTCCATTTTCAAGACTGTGCAAGAGAGACATATCCCTGCCTTTGCCACTTCACAGCAACGGCTTGCGTGTAGAGAAAGGGGGTGAGAGCATAGCTCAGTAGGGTTGCCAGGTCCTTCCAAGTCCCCACTGGGGGACTTTGGAGAGCGTTCCGGGGGGGCGGGGACAGCCCCAACATGATGACTTCACACAGAAGTGACATCATCATGTCGGGGACCGGTGCCTGCGCTCCAATTCACAGCTTGGATTGCAGGCACCCCCCCCCTGCATCTTTCCCAACGTATTTAAAGGGAGAAGCAGGTGGCTACCCCTCTCCCTCCCCTCTTACAAGATTAAAGGGCCCTCCAGCTGACTGGTGGGCCATGTGCTCCCTCCTGATCAGTTGAAGGGCCCTTTAAATCTTGCAGGAGGGGAGGGAGAGGGGTAGCCACTGGCAGTCAGGCTTGGGGCTGATGTACTCAATAAATTCCCCATCAGCCAACTGGCGGATTTGAGCCCCCAAAACCAGGGGAACCCCAGCTGGGACCTGGGGGATGGCAACCTTATAGCTCAGGTTCAAGTTCAGTGTGGGGGGGAAGAATTATTAAGATGCCACCAATGGCAATGCCATCTTGAATCATCTATATATTTATTTCAATTATACCCTGCCTTTCTCCCCAAAGTGGCTTCCATCATTCTCGTCTTCTCCATCTTATCCTCACAACCAGCATCCAGTAAGGTAGGTTAGGCTGAGAGTGTGTGACTGGCACAAGGTCACCCAGCAAACTTCTATGGTAGGTTGGGGATCCAACCCAGGGTCTCCCAGATCCTAGCCTGACACTCTAACCATGACACCACACAGGCCATTCAAATGTCAATTACGGTAAAGAGACAAGACTGCCTCTCAAACCCTCCGCATAAAACAGCTCCAAAATGTTACCAGTAGCACCTTGCTGACCCATGAGTGAGAAACAAGGGCAGAAAGCATTTCGTAAAACCAAGGTTTCCATCTCTTTCACCCTCCAATCTGGTAAGAAGAATCCAGTAGCCCCTTAGAGACCAACAACAAGATTTTCAGGGTATGACCTTTCAAGAGTCAAACTAGAAATACTAGTAGGAATGGAGATCCCCAAGTCCTTATATCTCAGAAGACTTGTTGGTCTCTAAGGTGCAACTGGATTTGAATCTAGCTCTTCAGCAGACCAACATGCCGACCCTCTGAAACTATCAGTGAGAAGAAGCATCTCTCCCCCTCTTCTAGCCCTTCTCTACCAGCTTCCTTCCAGGCAGAGCTCAAGCCTACTAGGAAACTAAAACCTCCACATTTTAGAGAGCTCTCCCCAACAAATGGCTGCTCGACACAGCCACTTAGCAGCAAGGGAATGGCTCAGCAGCACTCTCCTTAGCAATTTATTGAGTACATTTTTTTTATCCTGCGGTCCTCCGAAAAGAACGCAAGGCAACATGCACGCGGAACTCCCTCCTACATTTTATCCTCGTGACAACTCTGTGGCATAAGATAGGCAGAGAGAGAATGACTGAAGACCCAGGGTCACCCAATGCAAGCAGGGACAGAAGCCTGGCTCTTCTTACCCCTGGTCAAGCACTCAAAACATTATGCTAGCTCTCTCATTAAAATCTTCTTCCAGCCCTCTTCTTCAACCCAGTTCCATTTTTAAGGCACCAACGCCTTCTGTGCACCTGATTTTTTGCCTTCCTAGAGAGGTCCTGTTGCCCCCCCCCTCCCCAGGCTAGGGTTACAAACTCCTGGTTAGGAAATACCAGGATGTTTTGGGGATACAGCCTGGGGAGGGCAGGGTTTGAGGAGGGGAGGGACATCAGCGGGTTATAATGCCATAAAGTCCATCCTCCAAAGTTGCCATTTTCTCCAGGGGGAACTGATCTCCATAGATCAGTTGTAATTCCAGGAGATCTCCAGGTCCCAGTTTGAAATTGGCAACCATACTCCTCACCCTGTGCCCACAGCGAAAAAGTAGCCTCAGACAATCCCACGCCAGCAACTCAGGCTCAGTCACAAGGTGCCCTCTGAACAGCCTGTATTTACTGGTGATGCAAAAAGCACCAGACGGTGTGTGCAAGCTCTGATCTATCGAATCAGAGCCTATGACCCTTGTCCACTAGCCTAGCCTTGCTGGAACCCAGTTTGGAAGCAAAAGTTTATCAAAGAAAGAGAGACTCCTACAATAGTTAGAGTAGAGCCAAGACTTCTAAAGGTGCCACCCTGAAAAAGGGTAAGACCAACATCAGCCTGTACCAGAGCTTCTCTGTGTGGCAGCTCCCTGCCTGGTGGAGCGGCCTGCCTGATGAGGTCAGAAAGGCTCCCACATGCTTCTGGCACACTGCTGAACATGGAAAATGGAATTGTCCAGAAGGGCATTTTGATAAAGGGAACAGGGCTGTAGTTAACGTTTGTGAAATTTCTAGGTAGCTTTTCTTGCATTGGTCAGGGTATACATTATACTGTTTTTATTGCACTATTCTGTAATTTTGGAGCTTAGGTTTATTACAGTGCATATTGTCTGTAGTGTTTTCATTGCATTGTTCCCTAGTCTTTCAAGTCCTGCCTTAATATGTGTTTTCTATGTGTTCTTGAATGTTGTGAATCAGCTGTAATGCACTGGTGTTTTGTGGATTATACGGCTTTCATTGGATTGCTTTGAATTGTGCAATCCGCCCTGAGTCTCAGAAAGAAAGACGGACTGCAAATGTGGCATAAGCTTGAAAGAGTCTTTGCAATTCAGACTCCTGTATGAAGGTTGTGGGCCACCAGGCGGCAACTGATAGAGGTACATCTGGCCTGTGTTAACTTCTCATTCAGCCCTTATGATTTGAAAGGACGCGGCAGGAATGTACGCACAATTTCTTTTTTAAAAGGGAAACTAGAGGAGAAGCAGGCATTTGGTACATAATAGCAACAGGCAACAAGACCTTGCTAATGTCCTGCAGGTGGGCCTGGTAACTGAGAAATGCCCAATTTTAATTTGATCTGAGGGAAAGAAAACCCACATCCTTTTTTTCCCACTGAAGCAGCTTCTTTCAAAGCTACATTGTAATGGCTGATGAAGAAACTAAAGTTCAGGCGACGGAGGAACACTTCTTCTTTTTCATCAGTATACCAACACTGGGAGCTTCCTGTGCTCACAAGAAGAAACAGTTCCCACCCTGGATTTTGTCACTTCAGGGGTACTCTCTAAGATACCATATGCAGCTATATCTTAAACGCAGAGAGAATAAAGATTTTTTTTTTTAGTGGCAGCAAATTCTAAGATGAAAGATTCCCTCCAAAGTCAGGAACGGTGAGAGTCTTTCTTTAAAAAACCAATTGTATATGTAATCCGTTTTTAAAAAAGAATGAATTACTATACAGCAGCTACATAACACACCCAAAGATAACAAGGTTTTAAGAGACGGTAACTGCTGGCTCTGTCATGATGAGCAGACCTTCTGTGTTGCTGTACAGCCCATAATGTTTGAAGAGCCAGTAGGATATAATGGTTACTATACTGAACCATTAGTCATGTATGGCTGTAGTCATGTATGGCTACCAGGATCAGAGACATGGCCTTAAATCCCCACTCTGCCTTGGAAGCTTGGTGGGTGACCTTGGGCCAGTCACTCACTCTTAGCCTAACTTACCTCGCAGGGTTGTCAAGAGGATAAAATAAGGAATGAAAAAATCTTGTACACTGCTCTGAGCTCCATAGAGAAAGAACAGAATAAAAACGCACTAGATGGACAATTGTGTTGTATTAAATACTCCAATCCCATGTTATTTCTTTAAATATAAAGATGACAAAAACAACATTTAATGTAAAAGTTGTTGCAATGGTAGGTTGCCAGATCCTGGAAATCCCTTTGAAACTGGAATGGTTAGAAATAGTCAGAGAAAGATGACTTTGAGCTCACAGCTTATTAAGAATCTTGGGCCAGGTTGGTTTGAGTAAAGGACATTACTAAAGGAGACCAATGGTTCATAATTACATGAACAAGCCCGGGGAATCCTTGGATTCCCTCCCTCCCCAGCAATTTATTGAAAGATGTCTGCTTTGGGGGCATAACACAGTTCACTGGTATGTCCAAACCACAAACTACAGCTCGCATGCTTCCCTACAAACCAGGATTCCAAACTTTGGTATAAAGCCAGAGTGGAAACCCTGGTTTGCAGGGAAAAGCTGCAATCACAGTTTATGATCTTGAAACAACAGCAACAAACTACAGATTTCATCAGATTACAACATACAGGGGATAAGGGAGAGGACTCCCCCATGAACCTGCCTGACCTTTATGATGTGCAGCTCCCATCCAAAGAAGGAGGATTCAGTTTCCCTAATCTAAGTTTATATCATCAGGAATACTTGGTAACCTGTACCAATTACTGGGATCATTCCTTGCAGTTGGACTATCCACCTTGGGCTCTTCTGGAGATTTCTTGTCTGGTGATCCTCTCTAAGTGGAATGCATGAGGGTCTATTTATACCAGAGTGGATCCCATTCCTCCTGCAATTTCTGCAGCTAGAGAAGAAGGGTGCACAATGTGACAACAGTATCAGTTTGATCCATTTTCACATGCTAAATTAACATTATGTCCCAATCCAGACCTGGAGGGAAGAAACCTCTTTTATGAAAGGCTTGGATTGATAGGTGGATTTTTACATTACTGCAATGATCATTTACTGTCGTTTTCTCAGCTAAAGTCAGATATGATTTATCAACCACAATTGCAACATCTGTTGGTATCTAAATATGGCCCTGCTCCTGGAAACTATAATTGAATCAAGACAGAAAATGAAATCTACAATATTTGTCTATAAATATTTGATGTTGATTAATCAATATATGCAGAGTCACAGAAATGAATGGAATTAGGATAAACTGGACAACAGTGACTCATTAGCAAAGAACTAAGTGAAGTGTCTAACTGCTGGCATTGCAATGCATTCTTTTGTTAGCCGCCCAGCCACTGGGTAGGGCGGGATATAAATCTCAAAATAAATATAAATAAATACATCCTTTAAACATATGCTTTGGGTGTGTCCAGTCATTCATTTTTTTCTGGGAAGAAGTTATCAGTCATATCAATTTTGTATTTGAATATGCATTTTTTTTTTTATGATGCCTATGTACTTGTAAACTATCTGCCCATCTCTTGGAGGCTAACTTGATGGTCAATGGAAATGGATCCTCCATGCCCTTCCTATACCTGCAAGACTCATATTACAGCACTGGGGAGATAAATGGACACCCTCCAATAAATCAGTGGATCGACGATCTTAGAACTTTATCAATAGTGAATACATGGCACAGAGACAACAACTGTGTATGGACTTATTTTTAGATATTTGGAACTTTTTATAGAAACATGTGTGGAACTACCACCACTGTTATATTTTTTACTCTATATATACCGTTTCCTTTTTCTTTCAGTTACCACTGTTATATTTTTTTACTCTACTTTATATATACCGTTTCCTTTTTCTTTCAGTTGTATTGCTAGATTTTCAATTTTTTTCGTTGCTCTTTTTTGTTTTTTTAAACCTGTTTCAGGTGCTCCCTTCTTCAGAGATTAGGTGGGCAGCAACATAAGGGGGGGGGCCTTCTTGGTCATGGCACCAAAGCTCTAGAACACTCTCCCAGGGAGATTCGTCTGTCCTCTTTGGTTGGCATCTTCCACCAGCGGGTGAAGACTTTTTTTGTTTCATTTGGCGTTCACTCATTGACCCTCCTTCCTATCCAATGTTTTAATTGTTGTTCTTATGTCTTTGTATTTTTGCTCTGGTTTTAATTATGGGGGGGGGCTGATTCATGATTTTAAACTCTGGGGAGTTTGGGACTCAGTAGTAGAATATCTGCTTTGCTTACCAAAGGCTGGAGCTTTGATTTCCCCTTAAAAGGATCAGGCAGCAAATGATGTGAAAGGCCTGTGTCTTTGGTGGGCTGCTGCCAGTCAGAGTAGAGAAGACTGACCATAACAGATCAGTGGTCTCACACAGGAGCAGGCAACGGCAAACCACCTCTGTTTGTCTCTTCCCTCAAAAACGCTACAGAGTTGCCACGAGTTGGCTGCAACCTGATGGCACTTTCCACCACTAGGTATACATATACAGTGTTACTGAATAACAAGCTGTATTTCATAGCTATTTGGCACATTAAACAGTTGTGTGAAAAAATAGATTTCTGGAGCTGATAAATCTATCACTTGTTCCTGAGCAAAAGGCTCTGGGGCTGGGGCTTTTTAAGAACACCCCCCAACCAAATAAAATCACATCCAAACCTAAAAGCATTTTTAATGGTTTTCAAGCAGTGCATCTTTGGCCAACATAGCTGAGCTCCCAGAATCCCAAAGAGATTTGTTTTTTTAATGGGAGCAGCTCAGATGGCTCTTGAGCAAGCAATAAACCCTTTAAACACAAGAAGTACTTTTAAGAACAATGTCTCTTAGTTTGGTGGTTTCAGGCCACAAGAGGAAAAAAAGTGCCTTCCTTCCAGCACTTTGGATGCTCACTGAGTAATTAACATGCGAAGATGAAAAATGCTTCGTGTACCTCTTCTCACACCTACACTTCTCATTTACAGAGTTCAAAGGATTTGGGAGGGCAGAATGAAGTCCCTCCTTTTCCTTGTAAGTCTTCTAGAGACAGATAATATGGTACAGCGCTTAAACTATTAAGCTAGTACTAGACATCCCCAGGTTCAAATCCCCCACTCAGTAAAGGAGCGCACTGCACACCTGTAATATTTTCCACCTACCTTACCTCCTCTACAGGATTACAGGAGCGCACTGCACTCCTGTAATATTTTCCACCTACCTTACCTCACAAAATTATTGTGAGGATAGGGGAGGGGAATCCACATCCTTGAAGAGTAGGCTAAAAGTATAATGAAACTGAGCACCATTTGACCCACCCACCATGTCTGTCCCAAACATCTTATTTTGCACCACTTCCTTACATAGCCTTTTCCTTACAGAAAAAGATGGTTAAAGAACAGTTCCAGCAGCTCTGTAAATGTGGCTCCTGTGGGTGTACAAAACCAGAGTGCAGCAATTAATCCAGACTAATTAGTCCAGAACAATTTGAAAAGAATTTAAAAACACCATGAAAAAAGAAAGAAAGAAATAGCCCTATAAAGTGCTCTGAAGACAAAAAGATTTATTGTGGCCAAAGCTTTCCATTAAGTGGACTGTGATCAAGAAAATATTAGGCCATCATAAACCAACATCTTCAAGACTGAACACACACCAGGTAGCTACCCATCTTGAATTCATTTTAAAGGGTGAAATCTTACAGACAGTACCAAGGGCTGTCCTTCAGATATCCTTATCATGTTTGCTGATAGAGAGGGGAGATTTACCCCTTCCCTTTTAACCTCCCCCCTCCCAAACACACACACTGACTTTCTCCAGTGGGGTAACTGTGTTAGTAGGTTGCAACAAAAATAAAGAGAGCACCCCTGCATCTGCGAGTCCAACACATTTATGGCAGCATGAACTTTCACGGGCTGAAACACATTTAGACAGCTGCCGTGTCTGACATCAGCACACCCCCAAAGTCCACAGTGACAATAATTCTAAAATATTTTTAATTCTTTCTTTCCTCACAAAAGACCCAGAGCAGATGGGCAGGTGGCCCATAGCAGTCTAGTCTAGTGGCTGGGACAGCTAGGAAGAAGACTGAAAGGGCTACAGCAAAGAAAATGTAGACTGAGGGGTCCCAGGTCAGCAGCTCTAACTAGGGGGCTTGTTTTCTATGCCTGACCTGAATGGGAGGTGAGTGGGGGAGATGGGGGGGGGATGCAGGGGGCACCACACAAATGAGAGCCCCTGCACAGCCCCTTCATACATACTTTAACCATTTGTGTATATATAGCCAAGGGGGTCAGGGAAGAATTCCAACAGCAGGCCCTCTCCATGTGCAAATCTGGGGGGCAGAATACGAGTGAAAGACTAACAGATGGATCGTGACAAGACGCTGCTACAAAGTGCACTTAAAGCAAGGGAGTGGGTCTCTGGACCCCAAAAGCTCGAGTCCCTCCCAAATCTGTGTCTTTTACGCGGATACAGAAAGGTGAAAGGTGGCCAGAAGGCTGGGGAGAAAGATCTTAAGAACAGCCCTCCCCCCCCCCCCCCCCCCCCCTCAAGCTTCAGGAATGTAAAAAGGCGTCCCGGGAAACTTAACCCGAATTAAGCCCCCTTCAGGACGTGCCCTTGGAAACTTAGCTGGGGAGTCACCCCACTTTGGCAACAACTTCCCCCTAACACCGAAGGAGGGGGTTGAATTCACAATCTCTCTGCTCCCCCTCGCCCCGCTGTCAGAATTTCAAGAAAGGGCTCCCGGTTGCACCTCCACTTTTACGCCCTCCCGATTCATGAGAGGCATCCACAGCAAGCCCCCTCGTATGAGCAACAGCTCTCCTCCTCCCCCCCCCCCTCTCTCCTTCTTCTTCGGAGCCCTGAGGGCCACCCTGATAACCATCCCCCACTGAGCAAACCACTGGGCGACCACCAGCGCCGCCCCCGCTCCCTCTCTCGCCTCCCCCCAGGGGCTCCTTTTACCTTCTTGGGCTCCGAACTGCCCGAAAGCCTCGATTGCAGCTTCCCCACAACTTCTAGTACCGACTCCGCCATTTTTACTGCTGGCGAGGTCTCTTCGCGGCGGAAGTGGCCGTTGCTTCACCGTCTACCCAGGAGAACCCGGGACTTCAAAAATTCTCGTTGCTTTTCTCGTTCCGCCATCTTTGCTAATGGAAAACGGAACGGCCGCGAATGGGGGGGTGTTGCTAGAGATCCTACGATCTTAAAGCTATTGTACGCCATCCTGGAAGAGGGCAAAAGCTTCTAAACAGGGAAGGTAACGAAGGGCCAACATCGCCATCTTGGGTCAGGGCAGGGGAAAAACGCATCAGCTGAGTAGGAAATGGGTTGGAACCTTCCCATCTTGAGTCAGGGCAGGAAGCTTCTTCGCTGAGGTGAAGCCGCCATTTTCAGAGTTGGCAGAAGCCCGCTGACCCGGAAAGGTTAAGGTTTTAAACATCGGTCTAGTACGTTTTTTAAATCCCAACCTGCCTCCAAAGATCTCGGTAGCATACATGTTCGTCTTTCCTCCATTCTATCCTCACAACAATGAGGCCGGAGAGAGGCAGAGACAGTTTGACTAATAGCCTCCTCCATTTTATCTTTACAACCTTGCGAGATAGTTACCAATCTCCATGTGGAGCCTGGAGTTCTCTCAGAATTACAGCTGATCTCCAGACTGCAGATATCTGCTCCCCTGGGGGAAATGGTAACTTGAGAAAGTGAACTCTGCAGGGTTGTCAACTCTGACTTGGGAGATTTGGGGGCAGCGCCTGAGGAGGGACTTCATTTTCCTTTAGACTCTATGATATATCATAGTGCCTACCCTCCAAAGGTGCCAGTTCCTCCAGGGGAATTGATCTCTGTAGTTTGGAGATCAGGTGTAATTCTGGGAGAACTCCAGCCCTCACCTGGAAGTTGGCAACCCTAACCTGGTATGACATCTTGACTGAGCATCTTCCCCAAACTCCGCTGCTCCCAAATCTCCAAGAATGTCCCAAGCTGGAGTTGGAAACCCAGAAGATAGGTGAGCCTGAAAGTGCCTAGTTCCAACGTCACTGTAAAGGACAGTAAATGGTTAACACTGTAACCGGGTCTGAGAACCTTGAGTAACAGGGGATTCAAATTGAATTGTTCAGTTGAGAGGGTCAGTTAGGAGTGGCAGTTGAGGGCTGACAGGTAACAGTGTGAGAGCAAAGCAGACTGGGGGAGGATTAAAAAGGATCCAGAGTTAGGAAATAGGAAGTTTAGCCGATCCCTAATAAGTCTGAGGGAAATAGCTCCCAGAAGTTTTCCCACTGGATAGGGTTGCCAAGTCTATCTTCGCCGGGAGCAGGGGGCTCCTGGCCAGCGTCCTGTGCGCACGAAGCGCCTGCGCGCTGCACGCACGTCACCCGGAAGTGACGGGAGGACGCCAGGCACGCTGGGGGCGGGG